AAGATTTCACGCATCGGCACGTGAAAGCGAAATTTGAAACCTCGAAGGATGAATATCCTTTCATAATTTCAGTCTCCTAATTTTCTGGCTTTCGAATGATCTTTAAGACGAAACTCTCACGTGGTCGTACGTGAGACCTCGGCATACTTGGAAACTGAATTCGACTTTTTGAAGTCTCTGCTTCGGCAGGAAACATTCTCCTGAAATTTCCAGCTCCTAACTCTTCTGCCTCCCGAGTTAATAATTTTCTTCGCCAAAACTTGCACGCGGATGTTAAAAATTTGCGGAGTTGTACATGGGCAGGAGATACCACGCTAAAATTCCAGCTTCTTAGCTTTTGCAGTTCACAAGACAATTCCCCTGCTGAATTTTCCACAGGGCCGCACGTGGTACCCAAGGGTGCGTGAAGGCTGGATCCTATTTGCGGTGGTCGTACGTTAATAGAGTTTCAGATTCCCAACTTTCGTGGTTCCTGAGGTAATAATTTTCGTCGCCGAAACATTCACGGGACTTTAAATGATATCTGGGCGCGTGGGAAGGCGCTGAATTTAAATTTATAGGATTATATGTGGGTAGGGCACACCATTGCAAAATTTTAGCTTCCTGGCTTTTATGGTTCCCGAGATAATAATTTCCTCCGCCAAAATTCTCACGAGGTAGTAGGTGACACCCAAAAGTGTGGGAACGCCGAATTTGAACTTACAAGGTCATGTGTTTACCCTAAAATTTGAGCTTCCTAAATTCCGTAGTTTCCGAGGTAATAATTTTCCCGTCAAAATTTCTACGGGGCCGTACATGTTACCCGTGGGTAGGGGAAGGCTGGACTCCGACTGCAGATGCGAAAATGCGTTTTTACACAGTTTTCCGCAAGTTTTTTCGCTAACGGCTCTGGTTTTTTTGCAGATGCTTCTAGCTAAAAGAATTGTGACTAGCAATCACGACTGTCAGAAAATATCTCTCTAAAATTCCAGCTTCCTAACTTTCCTGATTCCCGGGTTAGCAACTTACCTACCGAAAATTTTCACGAGCCTGTACGTGAGAAACACCCACACAGGGAGGCTGAATTTAAAGTCAAAAGATTGTACGTCGACGTGGGAAATCTCCTTAAAATTTCAGCTCTATATATCCTCTGATTCCCGAGTTAGCAGTTTCTCACCAAACTATTCAAATACGCGTACATGAGTACCACTCATACGTGAGCTTGAGAATAGAGGCACGTGCACAGGTGTAGATTACGTTGCCATAGTTCAGCCTTGAAGTTTTTTTGGGTCTCGCGATGAAAAACCAGTACATACATATACACATGCATGCACACATACATACGCACACATACATACATGCATACATACATAACAAACATACATACATACATACATACATACATACATACATACATACATACATACATACATACATATACATACATACATACATACATACATACATACATACATACATACATACATACATACATACATACATACACTCTACATACATATTCACGCACATACACACAGACAGGCAACTTCTCGACAATATGCGTTTATACATTGCACTGACGCAAAAAACGCATAAAAAGTAGCTCAGTAGTTGTTTTAATCATGGCTTATCGAAGATTTTTTTGTTCTTAGCTCGCCGTATGGTCATTTCATCTTCGTTACGCTGTTTTCTTGAAAGGTTTTATGGATCAGAGTGCTCTCTTATGAAAATTCCAAGCTGTGGAAAAATAAAATAAGAACTTCTGCTAGTTTCAGCGGGTAGTGGGAAGAGGATTGAAAGCCTGAGCCTCCGCTTATCGGATTTATATGTGTGTTTTCATGTGGTGCTTGATCACTGCCAATGTAGCAGATATGGTTTTCTGAATATTGCTTTAAGAGATTCTCAA